ACTTATAATTTATGACATTACAAAGACAACTTGTACTATTATCGCTACATACAATTTACATGACTTCGCATTATAAAAGCAACCTGTACCATTACCACCATTACCGCTACATTATTTAATATGCATCTACATGACTTATAATTTGCGATTTATATTATAAAAACAACCATGCATTAATCCTAGACATCAGGAATAGCAAAATCATTTGTTTCATATTACGCTTTAGAAATACCATTCTGCCAAATAACTTTGGCTTTAATAACGTTCTTTTCGTACCCATAACATTTCCTGCATCTGAAAACAAGCGCTCACTTGGTGTGCTTGTTGCAGGAATTGTAAGAAATTTTAGGGCATTCCACTTAAAATCGGAAATTGTCGTTTTTGTAAAGACCACCATGGGATCTCAAGCTAAGGAAGAGTAAGATAATTTGTAACTTCGTTATTATCTTGGTTTTGTGAGCTTGATGAAAAAAACAGATTAATGAACCCTTTACGGTAAGCTTGTTTTTTATTTCGATTAGTTACAGAAACTAATGTGGATGTCGATGAAGTAACTTGTTTAGATAAATAGTGCCGTTCCTTAAATTCTGCATACATAGCACGTAAAGTTTCTTCAATTTGATTCGCTTATCAGTCGATAAAACATGTGATCTTTTGCATTTGGGTCCAATCGAGTTTTTAACAATGTAAATTTGAAAAAATTTATTAAACAAAATTTATGAAATTGTTATTTATTAATTAATCAAAAACTTTTTAATTTTAATTTGACTGATGCTCGATGATTGAATGAGTTTAAAACTCAATGAATGAAGTTTATTTCGATGTTCGAAATTTTCGATCAATGTTCGAATAATTATTCACCGATTCCACTCTCTATAAATACCCCATTGTTATTTTTTGACCAATACAGCAAGGATATCATAGCTATTGGCTTGTACATTTTATTGAAATAATATTATCTGCTTAGCAACAATAATGATTATCATAATAATTTTTCTTTCGCAAAGAATATATCAATGAATTAAACAAAAATGCAATTGCAAATTATCTAAAACTGGAAATTGATTTTTAACTTTCGAAAATGCTAAATGTAAAGAACCTTTACTCTTATCATTTTTAAGAATATGGTCAGATGCAAACCAAATATACTTAATATTACTTTCTTTTATGCCCATTTATTTTTCAACGAACCACTTCCTCCAGACATAAAATTGTCTTTGCTTTCTTTGTGGTTTGCAATTGAACCAATAGTAACCTGAAATGCAAATAATATTTTACTTGAATGGCACCAAATAAGAAAGTCCACACCAGGATAATTAGCAGAAAGTGGAAGAAATAGAATATTTTGATCCAACATCAAATCTTCAGTGGGTACGTCATTTCCTATGAATTTGACAATTTTGTCTAATTCGAATTTTAAATCAAATGCACTACGTTGGTTTCTTCCAGATTTTCTAATTGAACAAATTATA